AATCCTAAGGCATTCCCCCCCCCCCCGTCCCCCGACCTGCTCCCGAATGACAGAGATTTGTAATGAAGAAAACAGAAACATACCACTCTTTTTAGAATTCCCTTTTCTAATCTCAGTACTAACATTAGCTGAGGTTATGATCAGGGTTAGATACAGGATTACGATTGCTGCTTTGCAAAGATATATAGATGTTACCGAGTGCAGTTAGAATAATTTAATTAGCGTGACACATGAAATTTATAAAAATAAGCGGGGTGGGGCCAGGCCTTCAAGCTTACAGGAGACCATCTTTCACAGCTCTAGTCCCAAGCCCATACAATTTTGCTATTAATCGCATGCTGCTCTTGTGCCCATGGGGATTGCTGCCCAATTGCCATACCACCCAAACTGCTTTCCTGCTGTATATGTGGGGCCTGAAGAGAGTTGTCCCTGTTACTGAGAGCCCTGCTGGGCCGGACTGTGGGCTCCTGTGGCAGATTGGTAGCCATGGCATCGCGCACACCTTGCCTCGGATGTGTGGCCAGTGATGGGTGAGACATCTGGAGGCACCCTACCTGTATCACTGGGCATTGATGGAGTGGTGGAGTTGCAGAGGATGGCCAGATGGCCTATGCACTCTACAGGGAGACGGGACGGGACTGGAGGATCTCTTGGGTGCCTGCTGTGCTGTGTTTTGTTTCTGGACTATATGCGCTAGACCATGTCTAATGAGTAGGTGGCTGCCAGTTCTACTCTGACCTGACTTCAGAAGCCCATGCCCTTTCACCACTCTATTTTTAATACTGCCTTCGTTTGTGCTCACTATGAGGGCAGAAAATGCAGCTGCTCCATTTTTATGTAACCCGTGCACATGCAAGTAACGTGCCTGCCTCATTGGTGGAGAGTCCTACACTGTTTTCATGTTAATAGAGGCTGATAAACATGTTCTCTCTCTGTATTCATGTTCTGACCATATATTAACTGATAATAATGTCATATTGCAGTGTTACGCTGTACGTCATCTTTTTATGCCTACGTAAGCTTTTTTAATGTGCTGCACTGTGCTGTATAATCAATAAACTTTGAATGATGAAAAAAAAAAAGCAGCAAAAATACAATGTGCAGAATATTATATACCAGAGCCCACCAGCCCAGGCAAATAACATGAACCCAACACAGCATGAAGCCAAGACGAGCAACACCGAGATTAGGGCAAGAGGGGAGAAACCACTCCGGAAGCGCTGACGCAGCCACCCAATAACCCACATACATACACAACACATATCCGTCCGCAGACATACAACAAATAACCCAGCTCAGACAAAACTGGCTTACAGTTACCACAAACTAGATACACCAGCAGTCAAACCAACAAGCAGAATGCACCTACCAGCATTAAAATGCAGAAGGCCTCACCCGACACATACACAGGTACAGACGTTCAAAAACACAAAGGATAGCACAACCACAAAGAGAGACCACCATCATAGCAAAAGTTACGTAATATGCGCACCCAACTATGAAACTGAATGTTATAATTCAAGCAACCGGAATAATATGCCTCTGCGCAGGCAACGACATGCATACCTACTCATGTACTGATAACTACGCCTCTGTGCAGGCACCTACCCGCTTAACCACAAATACGTTTGCATTGGAATATATGTTGCGAATCCAATAAACATATTCAAAACAAAAATACAATGTGCATGTAAAAATTATTAGAACAGGGTAGTATTTTGACTACTCATGGGGTTTGATGTGTGATGAACTTGCTCTTAAGGGATGTGGCGTACTACAGCTTTTTGCAGTGATAGCTGACCTTCTTGCATCAGAAGATTGACTTTATTTACCAAGGATCACAATGACCATCAAGAAATCTAAGCAATAACTACGTAAAAGGACATTACAGGCATCAAAACAATATTAGCTGTATAAATGTACACAGTTTTGGTGTATAGATCATGCCCCTGCACTCTCACTGCTAAAAACTCTCCACCAATTAGGAGTTGAATCACTTTTAATTATTTTTATGCATCATTAGCCAAACCTCCCCTGGATGTGACTCGCACTGCCTGCATGAAAACATGGTTCAGATCTGATGAAGCCATCATGACGCTCAATTGTGTCAGCACGTTAGTGGGATCGAGACCTCGCCTCCCGGAAGAGTCTGCGGCAGAACCTGAGTATCAAAGTAACCAGAAAACCCTGCGTCTGGATTGGAGGAGACCTGGGTTACTGCTTACTGGGAGGATCTGCATAAAAGGAGATTGTCTCTTTCCGGGCAAATAAATCCTGTCATTAAAGGATCACTATAGGGTCAGGAACACAAACATTTATTCCTGACCCTATAGTGTTACAACCACCATCTAGCCCCCCTTGGCCCCTCATGCCTTCCTAAATATAGCAAAATCTTACTGTATTCAAGCCTGAAGCTGTCGATCTGCATGCTGTTTGCCTCAGAAAAACAAGCAGTCTGCTGACATCAGAAGTGGTAGCCTGATCCAATCACAGTGCCAATCACAGGAGGCAGATCAGGGGCAGAGCCAGCATTGTTATGGGCAAATGCAAATATTAAAAGTTTTAGAATGAAATGTATTTCTTAAACTGTGTACTCTGTATTTAAGAGATATTGCAAATTGACAAGGTGTTAGAAATGGAACATATTGTTTTTCATAGATATTTCTTTAAGCAATAACCTCAGTGCATAATATGTTTGCGCCATTTTGTCTCAGACGAATTACAATAACGATTATGCATAAACAAGCTTCAAGGCTATACTACGACTCTTTCAGTACACAATATACTGTGGTAACCACAAGTTAATGGAACTTCCCCAAATCCGGGAATCTCCCACGACTGTGCACTTACGTCTTAGTATAAACAACAGATAAGCTATTCAGACTTTAAGATGCCATCTTGAACTAAGTCAGGAAAATTTCCATGACGTATACACCCTTTAGTTATGGCCTTGTATGTTTGCCAAGTTAAGGGAGGTCCTAAAATGAATAAAGTAAAAGAAGTGTTACTTTTTCATATATGAACTACAGTAACCCTAAAATGGAGACACCTAAGGAATAAATAGGTGTACTTTTAAATGTTAAGATACAGAGGAGAGACTTGGAGACAGACGCTGTTCCATCTTAAAATGACAGAGAGGCTGACATGATGACATGTTCAGAAGGGTATGTTAACCTATAAATGATATTTGCAAGCAGTTAGTTTAATCTAATAAACTCTGCTATAATGGATTTTATATGTCTATATTTATATTTTTATATAATAAATATCAAAAAGACAAAATTTTATTGCTTCCAAGACAATCCTTATTTTATATTGTATTCTCAATTATTTATATATGTTAAATAGAGGATCTCTTACACCAACTATATAAAATTATTATTAAGATATCTGTATGGTTAGCCCTACTAAGTTCTATGCTTTAAGACATTATAGTGGTAAATAAGGGAACCACCTGCGGTTACAGCATGATTCAAACATAGCCCTGGCCAATCAGGAGCTCCTCATAGAGATGAATTGAATCAATGAATCTCTATGAGGAAAGTTCAGTGTCTGCATGCAGAGGGTCGAGATACTGAATGTTTGGATGAATTTTAGGCAGCCATGACCCAGGAAGGATCTCTAACAGCTATCTAAGGAGTGGCCAGTGAAGTTATCACTAGGCTTTAATGTTAGACATGTGCAATTAGTTTCGGTCCGAATATGAATTGGGACGAATTTCGGGCAATTTGGACATTCAGGTACTTACATAGTTACTAATAAGTTAAAATATCTATCTTCGCCCGGCGAGGGCTCCGCGCTTGAAATCCACCAAGAGTGCTCTGTGTCATTTTACACAGTGTGGGAAGGTTCTTTGGAATTTTCACACGCTGTGTAATTTGACTCATAACACTCTGATTGGTGGATTAACCCCTTCAGGACGGAGTCAATAGTACACGTTCTGATCAAAACAAAACGTAAACAAAAACTGGAATTTGCGCTATATGTCTGTTCAACCATAATTCACCTCTTTCATATTATATGCACCCACACCTATTATATATAATTTTGTTCAGGGGAAACATAGCTTTCATTTCATATCAAATATTTATATATGAAACATAATTTATTATGAATACAATTTAAAAAACTGTGAGAAATTTTAATTTTTAAAAAACAATTGTAATTCCGCCTCACATTTTAGCTGTAAATGTCATAATACTGTTAGGTTTTACTGCAAAAAAATGCACATATTTGTAATCAGCGATGTCTCACGAGTACAACAGTACCCCCCATTAACAGGTTTTATGGTGTTTTGGAAAGTTACAGGGTCAAATATAGAACGTTCCATTTTCAAATTGAAATTTGCCAGATTAGTAATGTTACTTTTGAGACGGTGTGGTAGCCCAGGAATGAGAATTACCCCCATAATGGCATACCATTTGAAAAAGTAGACAAACCAAGGTATTGAAAGTGGGGTATGTTTAGTCTTTTTTAGTAGCCACTTAGTCACAAACACTGGCCAAAGTTAGCGTTCATATTTATTTTTGTGTGAAAAAAGCAAAAAAAAGGAGTGCTGGCGTTATGACGTGCGCACGTGCTGATGCTTGTGCTCGTGTGCCGTGATGATTTTTTTTGGCCTTCTCTTTGCAATTGTTAAGTTATATACACTTGCTAGCCGTTTTGAGGGCACTTAGTGTATTTTAAAGCCATTTAACCATTTGGGCACGATAACCACGGCCATTAAAAAGGCATATGAAACAAAATCCTCTATGAGGAAAGATAAAAAAGACTCTTTACAAGAAAAAGCACAAGAAAAGACACAGGATAAGTCTTTAACTACTTATTTTTCTCCTCAGCAGCACAAGACACTAAAGCATAGGATGACTGATATAGATCTCAGTTCAGAGAGTACAGAGTCAGAAGGTATAAAAAATCCTGACAAGGAATTAATTACTATTTCTCTGTTACATACTAGATTAAAGGCCAATTTAGACGAGATAAAATCTGAACTGGCTGTAATGGCTACAGAAATAAAATCAGATATAAAAATGGAAATAAATATCTTGGTAGCAAAATTGGATGGTTTTGAGGTTAAATTAAAAGATATGGACTTTCAAGTAAATCACCTGAACGATGATTATCAATTGGCACTCCGCAAAATCTCTGACCTCGAATTTAAAGTGAGCGATTTGGAAGATCGATCTAGGCGGAAAAATCTGCGCTTCAGAAATCTGCTGGAGAAGGGAACTGAGGACAATGTTAAACAAATTGTGAAAGAATATATATCTGCCTTAGGAATTACATAAAATTCATCAGAACAACTAATTGAAAGGTGTCATGGACTATTTCAACCGAAATCACTTCGGAATGATTTACCTCGAGACATTATGGTTTGTTTTTTCGCATTTGATTTCAAGGAATTGATTTTAAAAGCTGCCAGACTAAATCCGGTTTCTTCGGACCCTTTCCAGAATGTTAAGGTGTTCCAGGACTTATCATTTGAAACCAGATCCCAACGTAAAAAGTTTAGCTCCGCCACCCAAATTCTACGAACTCAAAATATAAGATATAGGTGGCTTTTTCCCTCTAAATTAATCTTGTTACAAGAGGGTAAAAGAGAAGTGTTTGATTCAAATGTGAAATTAACAGAATGGCTGAAAAGAAACAAAATTTTGGTGTAGATATCTAAATTGATTATATATATATAATTTTTTTTTCTCTTTTCCTCTCTTTGTGATTAATGCACATTAATTTAGCAAATTATGCTGAAGTAATATTATATAATTTTTTGCTGTATTATAGGGAAAAGTCAAACAAATTTATAATACACAGCGCACAATGTTAAGCTTAAGTTCACTAGAATGATTAGAGAATGCACTATAAGGAAAAATTCCTTCATTTGCTCAATAGCGAAGTAATTGATGTGATATATGCCGGAAGATTTAGATCTAATTCTTATATATGTTTAATTTTATTGTCTTATAAGGGATGATCACTAGTCTTTATTATTTGAGATGCTACTTAAGGTACACTAATAAGTTAAATTATGTTGAAGCAACTATATATAAATTTTGGTGTATTATAGGGAAACGTAAAATAATTAAGTAACTCATTTTTGAGTGTTTGATAGGGCACAACAACATAGATAGATAATTAGAAATGAAAGAGAATGCACTATAAGGAAAATTACCTCATTTCAGTACTAGTGAAGTTACTGATGGGTCACACGTTGGATTATTTCTATAAGACATGTTCACAAGTTTTGGTTGAATAGCCGTAATGTGAATAAGGCACGGTTATAGTAATAGAAGTGAGATAATAATGGGTAAAGTAACTGTAAGATAGGAAAATGTTACTGTATCATAATACATATTATATAAGTTTTTTTTCCCCTCAGATTCAGTGGCCCTATATGCTACTAGAGATTCTCATGTAACTTTTGTGCTATTAAGGTATATTCAGAAATTTGTTAGTCTATGAAGATAGACATATTTGTTCTGGATTTAGAATTACTTGACAAGCTGTGATTCGTTTACGGATTTATTTTCCATTAAGATAATTAAGGTATATATTAACGGGAGATTGTCCCAAATTTAGGCTCCGCTGTCACGCTACAGAGTTTCCCCTCTGGTGTAGTAATACTACATTATTTTCATTGTGCCTTTACGGGCATTAATGGATTAATTAGTTTTATATTTTCATATAGTTGTCTGTTGTGCCTTGATGATGGACTGGCTTACATTCCTTCATCAAATGTTAACTTGTTTCTTTTTCTTTCTCTATGTGTTGTTTCTTAGTCTGAACAGGAGCTTTCCATTTGATAATATTCATGCTTTTCTATGTTGAAGATATTATCTATTAATACTCAGGGGCTTAATACTAATAAAAAAAGAAATCGCTTGTACAATTCTCTGGTGGATCACAACATTCAAGTTGCTTTTTTACAGGAAACCCATTGGCTTAAAGATTCTACACAAAGATGGGGTGGAGACAACTACCCAATAATTATTCACGCCTCCTTAATAGAAAAAAAAAAGAGGGGTCGCATTAGTATTTAATAAAGACCTTAAAGTGGATGTTATACATTTGGAATTAGATCCTGATGCCACGTTTATTATTCTGGTCTGTAACATCAATGATAAGATCTATACTTTGGTCAATGTATATCTCCCCAATGTCGACCCTATGGCCAAATTCTCTTTAATTATGGATAAAGTTGATAAGATCTTTAAGGGCTCTCTGATTATTGCTGGTGACTTTAATTGTGTTAATGACCCCAAATTAGATAAATCAACAATATCTTCAACTATGAATAATAAAAGAATTAACAAACAGGCCAAAAAATTACAGAATATTTGTAAACAATTTAATTTTTATATGATATTTGGAGACTATTACATCCATTTCAAAGAGATTACTCTCACTTTTCTAGTGTTCATGGTACCTATTCAAGGATTGATTATTGTTTAGTTGACTCAAATACAATCCCTCTTTTTAACGCTATTGATATCAAGGATAATCCCTGGTCTGATCATAGTTTTCTCTTATTTGATCTTGGCAATAATCCACCATTGTCCCGTACCACCTGGAGACTAAATGACTCCCTTATTAAAAATTAATATAATAGGGAGGAGCTGTCCAAGCTATTAGAATATTTTTGGTCTGAAAATAATCAAGCTGACACTTCCCCTATGATTTATTGGTGTACTCATAAATCTGTTATGAGGGGCTATCTAATTAAAATGGGTCATATTCATAAGAAAAAGAATGGTAAGAATTTAAAGGATTTATATATTGAATTTTATTCATGCTCCCATTTAAATAAACAATATTCTACTCCAGAGTTGAGGATTTGTTTAAACCATTTAAAACAACAAATCAATTCGAAGGAGGAAGAAAAGATTAAGTTCAATATAAATAAGTTAAATTTAAATAATTACCATACGGGTAATAGAGCCAATAAAAACTTAACAAAAAGACTTTGAAATCAATATGCGAGGAACAGGGTAGAAAAACTGGTCATTGACCAAATAGTCTATTCTACCCCTTCCCTAATAGGTCAAAAATGTAATCAATTTTATCAGGAATTATATAATTTAAATCTCTACCCTAAAATAAAGGATATTCAAAATTATTTACATAATACATTAATTCCAAAAATTACCTCACAAGATTTGGCACTTTTAAATAAGAAAATTACTATGGAGGAAGTTAAGTATCAAATAGATAGACTCCCCACAAACAAAACTCCGGGGCTCGATGGCTTCACAAATTTATATTATAAATATATGAAGTCGCATTTATTAAACCCTATTACTCAATTCTTTCAATCAGCTAATCAATTAGCTGAAAATAACACCATTCCAAAAGAATTATTACAATCTAATCTTGTCCCCATATTGAAACAGAATAAGGATAGTACTGACCCGTGCAATTATAGACAGATTGCGTTAATTAATGTAGACATGAAGTCATATTCAGCTATTATCGCTGAGAGAATTAAAACTATTATATCGAACCTTATCCACCCTGACCAGATTGGGTTTATCCCTGGAAGATGGGCATCAAATAATTCCCGTAGACTGATTGATATTATCGACTGGTCTAATAGATATAATATTCCCCACCTGGCCCTGTCACTAGATGCCGAAAAAGCGTTTGACAGGGTTGGGTGGGGATATTTAAGTGAAATTCTGAAGGCATTCGGATTCACGGGATGGATACATGGTGCTATTTTAGCTCTATATTCCTCCCCCTCAGCTAGAACAGTGGGTCCGAATATAACTGCAGGCTGGTTTGATCTTAAAAATAGAACTAGACAGGGATGTCCCCTTTTGCCCTTATTATATATTTTATCGCTTGAACCTTTAGCCATTAATATTAGGAACAACTTATTAATTAGCGGAGTTAAAATAAAATTATGTGATGCTAAAATTTCTTTGTATGCGGATGACACTTTAATCACCCTGTCTTCTCCCGAAAAATCACTTCGGCCCTTAATGTCTGAAATTGAGAGATACTCTAGTATATCTAATTTCAAGTTAAATATTTCAAAATCGATAGCCTTAACCATCAATGTGTCTTTAGAAATGGTTGATAATTTATCCCAGAATTATAAATTTATCTGGACAGACAAGGAATTAAACTACTTGGGTCTAACTATCCCTGTAAGTATTCCGACTATAATGGAGAGAAACGTTTTAATCTTAATGAAAAATATGAACCTTAAATTAAAAAAATGGCAAAATCTGGAAACTTCGTGGATAGGTAGAATTAACATTATAAATTCTTATATCTTACCTAAGTGGCAATATCTTTTTTCTATGGTCCCACTAAAAATGCCTAAGCCTTGGTTAGCAATGATCCAATCAAGTTTCAATAAATTTATTTGCAAGAATAAAAGACCTAGAATTAGTCAGAAAATTTTATCTAAAAAACTATCTCAAGGTGGCCTTGACTTCCCTAGTATTACATATACTTATTTCGCTAATATTATCCGTCATATTTACATCCTTTAAGACCCACAGGATCGTCGGGAGCCATGGTTTATATTAGAGTCGGAAGCTGCCCACACTTCTAGATTATATCATTATATGTGGGTGGACTTTAAAGAGATTCTGAAAGAGTCAAATAGTTGGTTTCCATCTACGTTGTTTCAAACTTTAGAAGACTGGGCAGAAATTAAGAAAATTCTGAGTATTGTACAACTAATACCAAGATCTTGTAGTCTTAATATTTTGGAGTATATTATAGAGGACTTCTCATTGACTTCTTGGGGAAATACTGATTCACTAACTATTTCAGACATTATGCAAGGAGATAACATTTTGTCTTTTCAACAGATTGTTTATAACATACATATTTCTCCTAGAGAGATATTTACTTATCTTCGAATTAAACATTTCATACAGAAATGTGTTATTTCAACTTCTTTTCCCTTGACCAAGAAATTAGAAACTCTATTTTGTTACCGAACGGTTTCTAAGGTTACTTCTGTTGCTATCTCCTTGCTTGATGAAACTAGGATTATACCCCATAAACTGATTAACTGATTAACACCTGGGAGAAGGAATTAAATTTAGTCATACCCCTTAACGATTGGCTAGCCTCCTTAATTAATATAAATAAATATATACATTGCTTAACCCTGACTGAATGCCATTTTAAAGTTGTACACAGATGGTATTTTACTCCAACAAGACTGACAAGAATGTATGAAACATACAATTCCACCTGCTGGAGATGTGGCTCGTGCCTGGGCACATATATTCATATATGGTGGGATTGTCCATTAGTTAAACCGCTG